TTGCTGTTGGACAGTAGAACAGCTGGCTAGCCATGACAACAATGAAGAAAAGGGCCAACTTCGGTACGGACAACGTGAGTTGTGTCATTCGATGCGGGTGCACGTTCTTACAGGCTTTGATGTAGACTTGTCCCCTGATGGTGGGGAGCATACTCAAGATCGGAGGTACGTCTTCAAGCAACGAGTGAACGTGGAAACGTACACGGACGAATGAGTAGGGGGTGTGAGAAGAGAAGATGGGGTGAAGAGCGAAAGGATGGCTGTGGCGATTCTTGGCTGAGACAGGGACTTCATCGGCAAAATGGGGTGGTACATCACGATAGAATTGTAGCTGATAATCGTACCAAGTAGTGCTTGGAAGTTAGGTTAATTAACTGGAAAATAACCGAGACCAGACCGGACCTAACCGCAAAAAAACCGGACCGCGGTTAGTGGTTAGTCAATTCTGGAAATGAAATAACCGGTTATTTTGCGGTTAACTAACCGTTAAAAAACCGGTTACAACCGGTTACAACCGACCCTATTTTACCCCTTCAAAACGCATCTAAAAGCATGAGAAACGCTAAAAATCTGACAGAGTTATGGTCAAATCTCTAAATTATTGGCTAAAATAGTAGGCTTTCAAGAATATTATTATAAAATTGTCAATTCTTCACCGAATTTAGCGATCTTGGGCTTGTTTTAAAGCTACGACGCATGGCAATAATGTTTACTGCAAGGAATATGAGAAATATACGCCGTTTTAATCGATTTTCTATTTTTTCGGTCCTAACCGGTTAGTAACTGCAACTAACCGGTTTTCATCGGTTATCTTCGGTCCAGTTAGGTTATTTTGGGTCTGGGAACGAACCCTAACCGGTCTCGGTCTCGGTTAGAGCCCCTGGGCACCCAATAACCTAACCTAACCGGACTTTCAAGATCCTAGTACCAAGTAGGCTTTAATTTCATACTGCCCATGTTACAGCCACTTCTTCAACCTTCTAGTCTTTCAGTTACCGTAGTTCGAGTCCTCTGCGTGGTCAATGAGGGAAAATGGCGTCGTGGAAAGAAGCCCGCTGCCGAGGAGACTTGTCTGTGCTAAGTGGCGAACTCATGCCACTGCTGGAGCTCGAATGGCGACTCGAAGGGGCATTCACCTGGACTGTAACAAAACTTCAGGGAAAGTTAACCTGGAGTTTGTACTCACCCTCTCCCTCGCCGTTTGGTTGATGTTCAGGCCTCAGGTCTGGCAACAAACTTGCGCGCTTTCACGATCGTCGTGGGCAGATTTGAAAAGCTCGGTTGGGGAGCCAATGTCGTGTGTATATATTGGAAATTGAGTCAAGGGAATAAAGTTGTACGAACGGAAGAAGCTGGGAGAAGCGAGTCAGTGACTTCACTCGAGTGGCTGACCCAGCATAACCAAACAATACACTGCCCGTGGCGCTTACTTTGATTCTTCACCACTTCCACCATCTCAGGCATCCCAGCGACAAATGTCTCTTTCCAATGTTGAATCCCAAGCCGTGGAGGATATAGAAAGACAACAGGAATGAGCACGCAGAGTTCGAAACCTCACCACGCGTTTTCGCGTCCTCATCATTGGCCGCGCCAATGCGGGGAAGACAACCATCCTCCAACGAGTTTGCAATACAACGGAAAAGCCAAAAATTTTCAATTGGAAGGGTCATGAGGTATTCCATGTGCAGCCATCATCATATATCATTATTGATGTGAAAAAGATTGACTTGTCCAAGCTCGATCCAACTGCACAGGTAATGTGGATCTACACTCTCTACTACATTTTACTGAAAGTGTTGCAGAGAGGGGAGCATGATATTGAGAATGAAATGATTAGTGTTTAAAGGTTCAGTTCAGTCCGGTTTTTTGCCCCGAAAACGCGCAACCGTGGACCGCAACCGGTCCAGGACTGACCCAGATATTGAGGGAACCGAACCGAACCACCTAGGACCGGTCTTTTGCGGTCCATGATACCGGTTCAGACCGATCCAGACCGGTTTTTTTGCGTATAATTTATTATACCAATATAAACCATTTATATCTCGACTATTATTACTCTGAAAAATAAATGGCTTATATAAAATAGTAAAGCATGTAAATACCCGTCATTCTACCAATTTTCAAGAGATTTAATGAAGATTTGACATAGCTATGACTGAAACTGAATTACATCTCCTAGAGACTCGGGTAAAATATGGATTTGGTTATATATTTCTCAATTCTTAACCGTTTTTGATGAAACAAAAACCCAATAAAAGGCAATAAACGTGGTTACAAGGCTATGTAACGCACGTGACCGTTTAACCGGTTGCAACCGATTAAAACCGGTCTTTGAACGGTTTTAAAAGATTTTCGAAATGAGGCAACCGGCAACCGGACCAACCCCAAATTGGGGCAACTGCAACCGAAAAAAAGACCGGACCATGGTCCGGTTCAGTTCGGTCCACCGGTTTTTTGCGGTCCTATGGACTGAACCTTTAAATACTAGAAATGATATTTGAGAGCAATACAGCATTTGTCTTCCATGACTCATGTGGCTTTGAAGCAGGCAGAACATCTGAGCTGGATAAAGTCAAGGAGTTTCTGCGAAAACGTTCAACCAACAAAGAGCTCAAGGATCATGTGCATGTGATTTGGTGAGTGACTGAGTTGTGACATTAAAGTGCATCTGAGTACATCTTGTGTAGGTACTGCATCCCAATCAATGATGAAGCTAGGCCAATTACAAGGGCAGAGCTAAATTTTTTCAATGAGTGTGGGACTGGTAGAGGTGGGTAAATTATTGATCATTTCTTGAAGTTTGCCTTTCCTTTTTGTGCACAGTTCCTGTTATTGTGCTGTTTACAAAAGCAGATATGCTTGATGCTCAAACCATCAAGCAGCTGGTCAATACTGGAATGGATGTTGAAGATGCTGCAAACAAAGCTCCAGAAGAGTCAGTTGCCATGTTTGAAAAGAGGTTTGGTCAGCAACTCTACAAGAAAAAGTATCCTCCCAAGGATCATGTGTATTTTCGAGGTATAACAAACTCATTTACTCATTGACAATAGATCAATTGCATTTAACAGATATGCAAAATCCCACAAGTGACTGCAGTGAACTTCTGAGGAAGACAGCAGCCACCTTTTCAGATGATACACTCTTACAGCTGTTTCTTACAGTGCAGCAAAATAATGTGGCTCTGTCAATTGAATATGCAATTAAAAGGTAGTTGCCTCATTTTGAATTATATGCTGGTAAATTGCTGATTATCTAGAATAACAGAGTTGACTTTCCAGGTGGGAAGTTATTCAAAGAAAAGAAAGAGTGGAGGAAGATGGTTGAGAACATACTGAAGTATTTTCCACATATGGTATGTGGACCTTACTTGACTATACAGTGGTAGAATAAAATAATATATATGAACAGGGGGTAAGCCAACATCCAGGAGGTCTCAACTAGATGCTAATGCGATCATGCTTTTGTTATAACAGTGGGTGAGTCAGGATCTGGCTGGCAATTCCTGCTTGTTGCTGACAAGAGCATGCTCTGGGTTTTGAACAGGATGTAAGTCAGAATCTGGCTGGCCCTTCCTGCTTGTTGCTGACAAGAGCATGCTCTGGGTTTTGAACAGGTTGTAAGTCAGGATCTGGCTGGCCCTTCCTGCTTGTTGCTGACAAGAGCATGCTCTGGGTTTTGAACAGGATGTAAGTCAGAATCTGGCTGGCCCTTCCTGCTTGTTGCTGACAACATCAGGAAATCTTGAGACTCTGAATTAACCGTGATTTATATGATTTAAACAGAATTGACTGTAAATTACGCACAAATGACCAGATTGTGACTTTTGAGAGAATTGACAAAATTGAGTAAAATAAAACGGGCACCGTTTAATTGTGCTTAATTGATGATGCCTAGCACACAATTGACCATTCATTTATTATTATTGTACCATTGAATTGATCCTCTTTTTCACAATTAGACATGACAATGGAGAGTTCAAGTCGACGGATTGTATTGCATGGCAACTGACTATACATTATAAACTACGTGAAACAAAAGCCAAAAGAATCTCTTGTTTGAAGCGCTAGCGCCTTCCCTCGCAACCGCTTCACCCTCCTTCCTCCACTCCCTCATCTCAAATGCACCCCACTCCTCTTTCGCGTCGATCCACCATCCCTAACATCGTTTCGCAGCCCATTCACCTCCTCTGCAGTGCTGGAGAACAGTGCGTACATGTTTGCGCATACAGAGGGCGGGGCGGTGTCATTAATCGTACCTGGAGGTGCTTTTGAGGAGAGAGGGGGGACGTAGACCAAACATAGACATACCCTGTTGCACGATTGATGGAGCGCGTGAGGTTGATCAGCTAGTTTTTGTCACATCAGCGGAGTGAGTGGGGTTAAGAGGAAGTGGGAGAGGAAAACATACCTCGACTGCCGAGTTTCGACTCCGACGAGGCTAAAGGCCTTACATAGTTATATCATGGCCGTTCAAGGGTGTTGTCGTCATCGTCATGTTGTGTTGTCATCGTCCAATGTGGCAGAGGGCGAGGTGGTGACGTGGCGGTTGTCGGCAGGTGTTACTATGGCCGCTGGGCGGGTTGTGGCAATTAGCGAGGAGAAAGAAGGGGGCTTGTAGGGCTTACGACATGATGTGCTCACCTGCACCATTATGGACGGCGATGAAGGTATGTGTCGTTGCCGTGTGGACGACGTGGCACATCCGTTGACGTGCCACGTCATCTTCTCCATGCGCCGTCAACGCTCGTTTCAGTGCCATGGCCATAGATGTCGTTGCGCTGACGATGCAAGGCAGCGGTCACGAAGAATGAGTGGTGACGGTGATGGGGATGGTGGTGGGAGGGGGAATAGAAAGTGCAGGACAAACAAGGAGGAAGTTCAACAATCAACAACGTCACGTGTGTCGGAGTTTGAACTGACTTAAACATTTCTGAAAGATTTACCGCCGTTCCCGAACCACTCCCTTCTTATGCATTCCATGACCAGCCCACGCGTCCTGACAAACACCACCACGAATAGGACGTGGCCACCAAGTATCGAGGTCAATGAGCACCATCAGGGCGAGCGCCGTGGAAACGGTATCAACATTGCGTGCCGATGGTGAGGACTGCAATGAAGGTGAGTACCCCAACCCATGTGCCCAACTCATAATGCTGACGGCCCCACTACCTCTAATGTTGCTGGCGCACTTTGCCGCCCCACCATCTTTACCAATGTACCCTGCCTGCAGTTGTGATGCTTCCCCACCACCACCACCACCTCTGCTACTGCTGTTGCTGTGGCCCAATTGCCACCTTTTTCACCGCTGTTGCCGCGGTCTGTCTACCACCTTTCTCATCGCCGTTGGCGCTCCACACACAGCGATTGAGCAACCACACCTGCCTACTACTGATGATGCAGCCGTCGATAACGCTTACGCTCTTGCTTACTGTTGTCAATGCGGCTTGGGGTCTCACTACAGACTCCGCTATTGACACGAGCCTCTGTTGTCATTGACATGATTAACACCCACACGCTGCATGTCCTCCACCGCTATCGACAATGCTGCCCTGTGTCTGTGTCTCTGCAGTCAATTAACATAGAACCTCAAAATGTTAGTAATAGAATCAATTGAATTGATATACTTATAACCATATGATCACCTCCAACTGTGTATCTATATATCTCAACATATTTTTGCAGAGAAACAAATGGGGCTTTTCCACTTTTTAGTATAAGTGTGAACAATGTAAATTTTTATTTTTCAATTGAGAAGAATTGATGAGGATTTATGAATGATTGTGCACAATTGACATCTCCATTTTCTGTTAAGAAGAATTGAGATGAATTCTCCAACAATTGTGCACAACATGTTTAACCTGCTGAATTGTGCACAATTGTGAGTTTTGGATTTTCCTGATGAAGAGCATGCTCTGGGTTTTGAACAGGTTGTAAGTCAGGATCTGGCTGGCCCTTCCTGCTTGTTGCTGACAAGAGCATGCTCTGGGTTTTGAACAGGCTGTAAGTCAGGATCTGGCTGGCCCTTCCTGCTTGTTGCTGACAAGAGCATGCTCTGGGTTTTGAACAGGCTGTAAGTCAGGATCTGGCTGGCCCTTCCTGCTTGTTGCTGACAAGAGCATGCTCTGGGTTTTGAACAGGATGTAAGTCAGAGGATCTGGCTGGCCCTTTCTGCTTGTTGCTGACAAGAGCATGCTCTTGGTTTTGAACAGGATGTAAGTCAGGATCTGGCTGGCCCTTCTTGCTTGTTGCTGACAAGAGCATGCTCTGGGTTTTGAACAGTATGTAAGTCAAGGGATCTGGCTGGCCCTTCCTGCTTGTTGCTGACAAGAGCATGGTCTGGGTTTTGAACAGCAAGTAAGTCAGGATCTGGCTGGCCCTTCCTGCTTGTTGCTGACAAGAGCATGGTCTTGGTTTTAAACAGTGAGTAAGTCAGGATCTGGCTGGCTCTTCTTGCTTGTTGCTGACAAGAGCATGGTCTGGGTTTTGAACAGTATGTAAGTCAAGATCTGGCTGGCCCTTCTTGCTTGTTGCTGACAAGAGCATGGTCTGGGTTTTGAATGGTATGTAAGTCAGGATCTGGCTGGCCCTTTGTGCTTGTTGCTGACCAGAGCATGCTATGGGTTTTGAACAGGATGTAAGTCACCATCTGACTGTTCTTCTCTACTTGTTGTTGATAAGAGGGTGGCCTGTGTTTTAAATAGAAGGTAGGTCTCAGCTTTCTTCTCTTTTCATTTTGCTAAGAAATGATGAGATTGTGAGTTCAGTTCTACAATTTTAGAAAAACACTTATGAAACTGCACTTGTTCAAATAGGCAGTCAGTATTTTATTGTTTCTTCCAATATTTTTATAAAAACCAGTAGTATTGACTGAACCAATTACTATTTTTAGGCAAAGGATGTCCTCAATCATACAGACTGGTCCTTGGTAAACCTTCACTAACTTCACTGTGTAAATGCTATTCATTATTCTGACCACCACATAATTCTATCCAGATTCACAATACCAAATCCTTCAAGGACATTGCATTTCTATGTATTGGTGTGTCTACTCTCATTTATGACCACTCTATCATAACTATTATTTTACTGCTCAGTGACTGCTATCATTGCAGAGCACTCTTTCTTTCTGTGGAAACAGAATCCTTCAAAGTCCACTGCCCCCTTCAAATCAGCCATTCAAAAGTTCAACTTGTCTGCTGACATGGCAAAAATCAATACTGCCATTGAGGAGGCCTCTCATATGAAAACCAAGGAACAAAAGAAACAGGCTCTTGTAAAGATTGCTATGGACAATCGTCTTTGTGAGTATCAATATTCCAAGTCTTCCAAGGTCTTCTCATTTATTTGATTTTAGCTTTATAAAAGTTTCAGCCCACCTTCCCAGAATTTCATAAATGCAGCACATGTCTCTAGTTACCACCCATTATGATGCACCTTTTGCCTTGTTGTTCCCAAAAAAATAGATAGTCTCATTTGAGCAAAAGAAAGTTAAGGATGGTAATTTCTTCAAAAGTCCACAAGCTTTTCATGTTCTCAAGCTTCCACGGCTTGAGGGTGCCCTTGAGTTGTCTTCATAGTGTATGTGTATGGGAGTTCAAAGAGTTGTTAGAGGGGGGTGAGATGATACATGATTTATGTATTCTCTAAAGTCTGTCAGAAAAACATGAAAGATACTGATACATATTCCACATTCCAACGTATTCACAAAGAAAGAGGGGCTCTAAGTACCAACAGTGGTAAAAAAAATACAGGTACAAGAAACGACGGCTAGCAATGAGGGAGGACTGGGGAGGTACAGATGAAGGGAGAGTGGCATCAAACTCAAAAGGACGTAGTTGAGTCAACCTCAATAGTCGGCACGATGCTTGCAATAAACTTGAGGAAAACAACCAGATAAAAATCGACCCTCATCCCCTCCACCTCCTCTTCCTCAGCCCCAGCTTGCAGCTGTTGAACGTCCTTGGCACTCCCAGACGACTTTCGGCTGAACAGCCATTTCTTCTCTTTCTTTGGGGTGTCCTTGCCCGAGGAAGAGGATTTACCGCGCTGCGCCAGCTGTTCCTCAACCATGCTGTTGTTCATCCGTTCTATCACTTTCTTCATGACACTGGCATGTTTGCATGGATGCATGGAGGCGGCTTGGAGTAGTGTTTGGAAGTCCGGTCTCGTGACTGGAAAAAGACTGTAACCAGACCGGACCAAGACCGCAAAAGACCGGACCTGCGGTTACAGTCTTTTATTTTTGAAATGTAAAGACCGCAAAAAAACCGGTTAACGTGACCGGTCTTTTTTAGCCCCTTAAATACCCTTTAAAACGCACCCAAGAACGTACGATTTGGTAAAAAAACGAGAGAGATATGAATTAAAATGTAAATTACTTTTGGGAATAATAGATGTACCAGACTCTTTTTATAGAAGCACCAATTCCTAACGGAATTTAACGTTCTTGGGCTCGTTTTGAAGCTATTAGAAATGTTAATAAATTTACCGATTCATAATTTTAAAATACTGGCCTAAAGACCGGTCATAAACCGGTTAAAACCGATGCAGACCGAAACCGGTCTATAGACTGCAAAAAACCGCGGTCTGCGGTCTTTTTGCGGTCCGGTCTGGTCTTTTGACTTCTGGGGAAAAGGCAGACCGGTTACGGTTACGGTTAACGCCCCTGGGCATCAAAAAACCAGACCGAACCAGACTTTCAAACACTAGCTTGGAGAGAGGCGGAGTGGATGAATGGTTCAATCGTTACTGTTTTCTGGGCATGGTCTGCTGAGACATCTTGGAAGATTTGGGAGGGGGTCAGTGGGGTGCGGTTCTGTCATTTCGATTAGCTAGTGTAGAAAAAAGGGAAGAAGGTAAAGGCAAACCTCATCGTAGTCGATCAGCCAAACGCGTGGGGTCTGGTAATACTTGTCGTATGTGATCATTACGTTGTACGTGCGGACTTGAAGAAGATTGCCCTTTGCGACTTCCACATTGGCACTACAAAGAGATCATCAGTGCGCTTCAAATTCCAGCAAACCCAACAACGTACCTTGCATCAACCACCCCAGCAGCAGCAGGTATAGCGGACGCCTTGGGCGCAGCCGCACCCGTAGCCTCATCATCCCCCTCCTCCAAATCATCCTCCTCCATATCAGGGATATCATCCAAATCAGGCATCTCCGGCCCAATGCCCTCACCCCCTCCCCCGCCCAACGACACGCCCCCCAAGCCCCTCGAAATCCTCTCCTCATCCTCATGGGGCCCATCACCATCCAAATCAGGGATATCCGCAATCTCACCCACGTTCATCGCAGAGTCCATTTGATGCGCCTGCTGACCCGTGTGTGTCTCAACCCACTCGTCGCCGTCTGCGGAGGGCGAAGAGTAGTGTTCGAAAGTCCGGTTAGGTCTGGTTATTGGGTGCCCAGGGGCTCTAACCGAGACCGAGACCGGTTAGCCTTTGTCCCGAAACCTAAAATAACCTAAGTGGACCGCAACTAACCGGTTACGGTCGGTTATTTGCAGTTACTAACTGGTTAGGACCGAAAAATAAAGAATCGGTTATAACAAGGCAAATATGCTCATATATATCTTGATAGATATTATTTCTGCATATTCTAGCTTTAAAACGAGCCCAAGAACGCTAAAATCGGTGAAGAATTGACATATTTATGCAATTATCCTTGAAAGTCTACACATTTGAGTGATATTTTAGAGATTTGACCGTAACTTAGTCAAAATTTAAGTGTTTTCGACGTTCTCAAGTGCGTTTTGAAGGTGTATAATAGGGCTGGTTATAACCAGTTATTCCATTTTCGAAATCAACTAACCCTAACCGTGGTTAGGTTAGTGTTGCGGTTAGGTCCGGTTGTTTTCCGGTTATTTTCCGGTTAACTAACCTAACTTTCAAACACTAGCAAAGAGGAATCAGTGAAGGAGAGGAGACGCTCAGCGTCCTCGTCTGCGTCTGTGTAGGCTAGGGAGGTGGCGCGCCAGAGGCAGGGGACGCCATGCATTACTAGGTATTGTTTCTCGGATGGGAGGAAGTCTCGGGATTTGGAGGCGTCTCCTTTTTCCCTGTTTACAAGTCACTCAATCTTCGCGTAGAAAGGAGGAGGAAGGAAGGAATGGAGGAAGAAGGGGCTCACCATGTCCATACGGGAAACTTGTACACCAAAAAGTCACCTGCAGCGACGAATTCCTCTGTTGTTCATTTCACAGTGAGCAAAAAGGAACGTGATGGATGATCGTGAAACATACCGGGCGTAATACGGTCATGTTCTTTGAATTTGCTCTCTTTGAGAACCTAATAGATGGGCTTGACGGTGAGATGATGCCCAGATCGCGGATAATAAGGCTCACTGGGGTTAGGTACTCGCGCACAGCGAACAGACTGGACTGGATGATATTATGATTAGGAAGGCGGAGGCGAACGACGCGGTTTGTGGACTTACTTGGAGGGCTTGCATGGAGGTTGGACTTGGGTTGAGGGAGAGCTGCGGACGTGGTTGACAATGATAACCCCAATCATTCTGTAGAGAACCTCCTCAAACAACTGCATGGTGCCGAAGTAGAGGCGGTTGAACCTCACCGAAATCTCGATGACGGTGTTGCAGAGTAGATGTGTTCTAGACAACCCAATCAGACCCAATCACGCACAACATGACTTGTTCATCCTTACATCCACTCCTCGTCCAACTGGCCTTGAATTGCAACTACAAACGTACTTAGAACTTTGACACAAAGGTACGTCTCTCGAATTGTGAGCTTCTTTCTTACAACATAAAATGGCCATCCTCAGAATCCAGATGCGCGTGATGATCAAGTCCTGCTCAAGGCCTACTCACAGGCCACCACTCTAGAAACACACACAAGTGCTCGTACGTGACCAGTACGTCGGTGTAAACCATAACTCGTTGAAGCACTATCCGACACCCCTACATAAACCCAACATAATCACATGGCTTCGACCCTCCTTTGCCCTCCCTCACCAGTTCAAGCTTCAGATCCTAATCCTGCCGTTCGAGTTTACATGGCCGACTTTACCAGCGTCCCTGGGTGCAGAGGAGGATATACAAGAGGAGACACACACACACAGATGAGGAGTACGACACATCATGTGAGAAGCGACACACCAGGTAACAATCTGTCGTTCTTCATTTTCGGGTGTGTCGTGCATAAATTTGAATCTCCGCGACAAATTACGAGTGTGATGCTCCTGTCACGACCGCTTTCTCATCACCACCACTGCCATTTGCTTGCCTGTGCCCCACCACCCCCTCGCTCTCTTCCTGCGCGTCTCGCACCCTTGCTATGGCTGAAAAGGACCAAGAGAACGGTCACAGGTCCCTTCAGGTGAGTTTCCACTCTGTTCAGCCCCGAATTTTTGCTAACGACCCACCACCATCACCTCCCACACCCTGTGCCACGGCAAACGCGACCACCGCCCCCATTTAAACCCCCCCTCGCAAACGAAACCCTTGGATTACAACTAACCGCCCATGAAAACGCTCACAAAACCGCCCATCTACCCATGACGGCAACAACCCAGCACCCAGGATAAAGCACCCACGCTGATGGAATCGGCCCACGAAAATACCCCCACAGACAGAATCCAGCACTGAGGCCCATCGACGAGGATCCAGCGCCACTTGGCGAACCAACAGGGGCACCCACCGTGCAGCCAGGTGTGTACCCCGCACCTCCCCACTAACTAACCCCGAATGACGGCGAAAACGCCAGCACCCTTTGCGACGAGGCCACCTCTGCGTCCCACTCGACCACAGCCGCCGGAACCACATACTGACACCCAGATGCACCAACACTAGGCCGTTGACATTGAGGATTCTTGGTGGGTTCATTCCGGGGTCGCGAGGTTGCTCCCTCTCTTAAAATTTATGTATAACTTTGTATAGTAAGTAGTTTAAGGAATAAAACTTATAATCCTAAATTTTACTTGAGCATGGAGAGGCAGATTTCGACTTAACCACAGAATCTTTGGTGTATGATACATAGCTAATTTCCGTCACACATGAAAATTTCATTTTCTGACAATCCAAAAAGGGCGGAATCAATCGAGATAGTATGGTATCATGCGGATAAGATTCGACACACCTTCCTGAACAAGTGACCGACATTTGCCATCAAATGTGTTTAGGCTCGTGACCAGCCTGTATATGAGAACTTGTATATCGCAGGACTTTCTTCATATACAGACGGTCACCGGTCTAAAATGTGTTGAACGTTGGACAGGTGTGTCGTTCTCCATCACGTGTGTCGTGTCTCATTTCTGTGTGTGTGTGTCGACTCTTGTCCGTCCTGTTCTCCCTCCACTTCAAATTCTATCAACCCTTCATCTCTACCCTCATTCAAATTTCCTTCTACGCCTCGGACAACATAGACTCTGCCTCGTCATTTCTGCATGATCGCCACATGAAGTCCTTCATCCACTGTTAGAATCGACGTGTTCGATGCTGGGTGGAGCGCGGCTGAAGGTGTTGTGCTTAATTTCAGGTTTCCAGGGAGGAGGGATTTCCATGGGCCCAAATGACATGAGAGGAAGTTTGAGATCCAAAAAGGTACTTGGGACACAACCTCTACTCCACACAATGCGCACACAATCTCTTGGAATTGAGATTCACCGTTTCGTTGTGCTCCTCAGGTCCAATCTCAGACGGCGGATGCGAACCAGAAGGACGGATGCTTATGCAGAGCATGTTCGTCCGTTAGACCGTTGCAGAAGTGTGTATTGCGCATTATGGGCGTTGTTCCCTCTTGGGACTTTTCGACGTCAACTTCATCTTCGAGGGTGCCATTGACTCCTGCTACCGTGGCGTGGCCTTGTCGAGTTCGTCTTCGATCTCCACCTCGTCAAATTCAACTTTGGATTCTAAAAAACTGAAACCAGGATGGCCGACTACGCTCACAAAGCAGCCACCGCGGCTCCATCTACCTCTCCACCATCTCTTAATACGACCTGCACTGTCACTACATACGTCCTGGGCCTCGTCGGCGAAGGCCTCTTTCGCATCTTCTTAGCCTCAATAAGGAAGGCCCCTGGCTACGCTCCCAGCTCATACTCTCAAACTCCATGGGTCTCCATGATTTTCGTGAAGATGTCGATCAGCAACGGTATGTTTGGCTCCGGGAGTTTTTTGAGAAGGAGGGGTATGGGTTTATCATTAGCCTGCAGCTTTGTAGACAGTGACGTGGGTGCAGAGTGGGGATGCATCCAGGTATGCATATAATTCGTAGAAATATTGAGCATTTTGAAGAACCAAAGCGTGTTGAATTCTTGTGCGATTCCGGTTACGATACGCGTTTCATGAACCCTCCGATGTTTCAGTCATGAATGCAGAGAACGCAACTGTATGTACAATTCATGAGAGCACAACAAATTTCAGCTTGATTCACCTTTAGGATCCTTGCGAGGTGTTGTAGTGACAATCTCGAATGGAAGGGACATTCCACGCCAAAAAATGAAGAAAAGTTGGTGAGCCTACTTATTCAGACATTTTCATATATACATACATGAGTTCGCTACTTTGCACGCTTGTGGAACATAACTTTACCCTGCGAACGTTCTTCAGCAGGGCGTTCGAACATATTTGCGTGAATAATTGCAGAGAGTCGTCTATCCTGTTCGTCCGAGGGTCTTCTTCGAGATACTGAATGGATTTGTTAGCATGGCTACCAACAACGTGGCCGAAAAATGAGAGTTGAGAAAGGAACCACAAAACGAAACAGAGAAGCACGCTGGTGGTTGCCACGTTTCATAAGGAAGTGATACTTAGAAATGGAGGACGGCGCAAACGCCAAGGGAAGAGAAAGAGACTCGCCTGATCAAATGCGCTCACGGGAGCAACAGAAATGATAGCGTTCGCATCATCGAAGTATGGCACCCACGAGTGTCTCTGTCCTCGAGCACCACCTACGTCAAATAGATGCCAGGTCACAGATTTCCCGTGGATGTTCACATCAAAGATGTGTTCAGCGACTCCCATAGTTTGGATACGAGCATGGAGGATGTCGTCTGGTGGGAAGAGGTGAATATATGCGCGATAAACAGTAAGAATAGCTACGTTACCTATGCTTGGGATGTAGTCCGGCGACGCGACACGCGTGATGTTCTTCAGGAAACTAGAGAAACAAGATCAGAATAGAATACTTGGGACCAAGGTAGGCGACGTACAACTCGGACCATTCATCAAGTTTCAGTTTCCGTTTGGCGATTAACCCCTTAACAGTGGGATGATGCCACAACTCCCAGATATGCTGAACGGAGAGCTCCAGCATTCGCCCAACGTCCTGAACAAAAGGGTCCTGCGGTTCCTGGGGTTCAATCTCACGAGTCTTCTTTTCGCTTTCAGCCGAAAGGCGTTTTTGTTTGATCCTTCCGAGAGCATTCTCGATGGTACAGGCCTGCCAACCACTCCGCACAAAGACGCCGCCCTTACCAGAACCAGACACCGAAATTCCACCACTGAGTCTGTCCGCGAGCTGTGCGTCCGCAGCTACCAATGGGGACAACCTGCGTCGAAGGTTGGCTATCTGAAGGGCGCCGCCCTCTTTCATCGAATGGGAGTGGGAGCCGCCGGCCTCCGACGGCATCAGGGAACTTGGTGATCCTTGGACGATGCTGCCGGTCAAGAGAGAAGTAGATGGTGACGGCTGATCTGCGATACCGTTCCCGCGAGCCTTCTTTGGTATGATAGACTGTGAATCGTCCGCCGATGTAGGTTGCACCTCGGCGTCTTCGTCAAGAGTGTCGTCCAAGCGTAGCTAGGATGTGTTTTAATGAATGAGCGACGTTGAAGTAGATGACCGCTGTCCAAGATGCGCGTTCTTGATCCATCGAAGTGGGTTTATACATGAGCTGGAACTGTTTCTGCAGCGTCGATTTCCCGCTCTCGGCTTGACCAAGGAGAAGAAGCTTGCAGCGCAGGATGAGTATATGCGGCGCATAATTGTAAAGCGCACTGACTTTGACGTCGCCCTTCTTCTTCTTCAATCGCTCCCTCTCCTCCCGCAGGTCGTCGTCGATTTGCTCAGAAATCCGTTTCGCCTCGGCTTCTGCATACAGACGGGACGTACGCTCTGCCTCCGTCTCCATGGGTGATGGTTTGAGGGCGGCGCGGAGATGGGATCATCCTGGCTGTGGAGCGACGGCGTGCGCATTAGTCGAGTGGGCGGAGGCGATGGTGGTGGTTATGAAGAAAGAAAAGAAGACGGCCTGTTGAGCAGGAAATTTAAATGCATTGGATTGGGTTTCACTGGGGATGCCACGCATTACTAGCTATTGTTTGTCTGGTGGGAGGATGTCTCGGGATTGGGGGATGTCTCCTTTTTCCCTGTTCATAGGTTACAACTCAGTTTTCGCGACGAGACGAGGTGAGGAGTGGAGAGGGACTTACCATCCCGACACAGGGAACTGGTGTACCAAAAAGTCACCCCCGCAACGAATTTATCTGTTGCTCTTGAGTAAATGACTCGGACGTAGATGATCGTGGACGTACCGAGTGTATACGGCTGTGTTCTTCGTATTTGCTCTCTTTGAGAACCTAGGTGGGTGATTTGATTGGTGACGGTGAGATGATGGCGGATCATGGGGCTCACTGGGCTTATGTACTTGCGTACGGCGAATAGGTTAGACTGGATTGGTTATGCCTGGATAAGTTGGTAGGAGATGAATGACGCGATTGTGGACTTACTAGGAGGGTGCATGGAGGTTGGGTTGACGGAGAGCTGTTTTTGTATAGAACCTCCTCAAACAACTCCGTGGTGCCGAAGCAGAGGCGGTTGAAACCTCACTGCAGAGTAGTCGCGTTCGACAATCAACATGCGCACGGCGCTCGTGACTCCAACATGGCCTTGTTGCAATTACAAACAACACAAGAGTATGTCTCCCGAATTTTGAGCTTCTTTCTTACAACATAAAATGGCCATCCTCAGATGCGCGTGATGATCAAGTCCCGCTCAAGGCCTACTCACAGGCCACCACTCTAGAAGCACACGCAGTGCTCGTACGCGACCAGTCGGTGTAAACCAGGACTCGTTGAAGCATTATCCGACACCCTCACATAAACCCAACATAAGCACATGGCTTCGACCCTCCTTCGCACTCCCTCGCCCCTTTAGATCTTTAGATCCTAAGTAATCCCGCCATCCAAGTTTACATGGCCCACCTCGCCAGCATCCATCCCTGCGTGCAGAGCCTTCGCAAAGAACCTCCTCCGCCCCTCCAAAGTAATCCTCCAAAATTTCCCTTCCACCTCAATCCCCCATTCTACTTCGAAAGCCTCGTCTTCCGCCTCAACTGCCTCCCCCCCACTTTACATCTTCATCCCTATCCTCATACAAACTTCCCTCTACGCTTCGGACAACACAAGCTCTGCCTCGTCACTTCCACGTCCTCCCTCTATTGTTAGAATTGACGTATTCGATGCTGGGTGGGCGCAGCGCGCGGCTGAGGGTGTTGTGCTTGATTTTAGGTTTCCAATGAGGAGAAATGCCAGGGTTTTCGTGGGACTGAATGCGTGAAAGGAGGGTGAGATTCAGAAAGGGACGACACAACTTCTACTCCACGCAATGCACACATAACGAATCACCAGCTGGTTGTGCTTCTCAAGCCCAATCTCAGACGGCGGACGCGAACGATTATGTGGCGTTGCAGGAGTGTATCATGCACGGTATGGGTGTTGTTCCCTCTTGGGATTCTTCGACGTCGACTTCATCTTCGAGGGTGCCATTCACTGCTGCTACCATTTGTCGAGTTCGTCTTCGACCCCCCCACCCCGTCGAGTCGAACTTTAGATTCTGAAAAATGGAAATCAGCATGGCCGGCCGACCACGCCCAGAAAGCAGCCACCATCTACCTCTCTAGTTCTCCACCATCTCTGAACACGATCTGTACTGCCACTATGTCCCGGGCCTCATCGGCAAGCGACGACTCTTGTACTAGTTTCAGCGTGCTTGAAGTCCTTCATCCCAGTTGTGCTTGAGTTGATGGTGAACCTGCGTGATGCTTTCATTCTCAACTTCAGCTCAGCAGAACTTCGGTTCTGGCTTGTGCTATGAGGTGTCAGCGCGCTTGCGGAAAATCAAGGGGTTTGTACCAACGATTTCGGCGGAAACGTTGACTTTTAAGATTGATATTCAATAGGTTTGAGTACGGCATTCAGGCGTCATCGGTCGTAGGTGGTTCAAAGCGACTGTTCTTTCGCTTCAGTCGACTGGCGTGAAGAACAATGCACGAGTCCAAGCTTGCCACCATCGCTTGAAGAGGCATGGAGTCGGAGATCAATCCGTTTTTCAACGTATGTCCTTTGCTCACATCTGTGTTTTTTCTGTCTCATCAAAAGGTCGTCATTTAGATAATATTCTATGCCGAACTGGGCATTCGTCAAAGAAGCACTGATATGGCTACAACCGCGTGGTGTGGGATGCTCGGGGTCAGACTCTAGCAAGTCCTCATCAATCATTGGTAGAAGTTCACGGCCCTAAACTGCTAACTGTAACTCTAAGCCGTCATGCTGCCCTAGAGTCGTCTAGTCTGGCGCCTGACCAAGTCAGCTGTACATGAAATTTTGCACCAATAAGCGGATGCTGGAAGTTCGCTGCCTCCCTCTAAACACCTGCCTTTGCTGGAGTAGCGGTAAACGACTTTCCAGATTTGCCACTGTCTAAAGCACCTCATGAAGGCACTTAGGTAGCTCGTTCCTTCCTCAGCCCCAAGTGCAGAGATTTCGATCTTGCACCCTTCATGGTGAGCTGTTTCTTGTGCTTCGCGCCTTTTCTGGAGCTGACTGTTCTTACCGTTAAGGACATCGTGGCGGTCTCCGCCATCTCCATTGGGCGCGACATACCCTTCCCTCGCAAAACTTTGCCCTCGGTCCGAATGGCAGGTGTGAAAGTGGTGGGCGCGTGTAAGGTTTTATGGTTTTTACGGAAGCTGCTTGATCTAATTATGAATCGAAAATTGAAGTTGTGCGTCTCGCCGACATCGAGCCCGCCAGCAAAGCACTCTTCGGTGTCATCGGTTGCCTAGGACGATATAAAATTTCTCTAGGGTGACAATGTTTCTGGGTGCCAGGTTCAAAATGAACACCCTTTCCTGTATCCCAAGACACAACAGAAATAGTAGGATGCTGCCCAGTGTAGAACCGATAGTATACGCGAATGACAGGTTTTCCCGTGGCTGCAACTTGTTACGTGTTAGGCATTGCCAACCTGACACTCATACAAACTAGCATCTTCACTCAGTACGCATTGCTTGTCAGTTCTTGTCGAGCTTTTTACCTCGTACGAAGCTGATCATTCTTGATATAAAGAGAATTGTCCCCCACCTCAGCTCTCACGCATTCCCTGATAATCAGTCGCGACAAATCTTGACCGCAGAAGGGTTGTACAACTCAACGCCCATGATCGGCTCAGATTGTGGGTTCGTCGTGTGTAAGGGCCTACGTGTTTCACCAAAATGACGTGTCCAATAACAGGGGGCAAACTCGTGCATCTCATCGCTGTCATAGATTACAAGCAGGACATCAACGTTTCAAGTCGAGGTGGGTCTGTTATATCTTTTCTCACCTGTCTGTATGCTTACCAACAACAGATCGACGACAGTCACGACACCCAATGGCCCGACAGTTCAACGTGCTGAGATGGTAAGCCGTCATCGATGGGAGCTCTTCATATCTGATTTATCAATCAGTTGCCAGGAACGCCCTCCTCACTGCTCAAGATCGACCCAATTTTATCCGAGGGTTTCTCACCGCCTGCTTCAAATCCATTGCCCAGCACTACGTAGACGTGTGGTGCTACAGTCGACATTCTCACAATGCATAACGCCGGTCCCCAGCTTTTTCTATGCATTGTGAGGTTGTATGCAAGGTGAAGCGTGTCACAAAGTGTGACTATTCGTGACCTCTGCTAAAAATGTCACGCTTCCAAAATCATTATGTGTAGCAAGGCGAAAACTAGAGTATTTACATGGTATCGACATCCATGGGAGAGCAACTATTATTGAAAAAAGAGTCGAGAGATGTTTGTTGGAATGAATTTGCTTGAACGCCGCGAAGATGAGCCCTCAACTTGCGCAACTGTTGTTGCAAGAGCTTGGCAAAAGCAGTGTTGACACGCCACGAGCCTCGGAGTGGGCGACACACAGCTTCTCCAAACAGTATTCGTGGCACATAGGCAGATCAGGGTAGATTTTGGCCTCAAAAAAATCAGATACCATGACATGCACAAGAAAATACCTGGTGAATCTGTAGATTTGGTTGTGCATAATCACAAGATCCAGTATGCATTATTCAATACGATATTTCATGCATAAATCCCTGCGTACCGAGTTGGTCCCCAGAAAATCTCATGCATTGTGATATTTATGCATTATTACTATATGCATTGTGAGGATGTCGACTGTACTTAGCGCGGAACGGAAGAAGCTGGTCTGTGCGGTTACGTGGGTCGAGTGTGATGGACGAACTATGTATACTTATCAAGTTGGGGTTTCTATTAGGGCAACGGGGAATGAAAAAATGGAAGGTCGATTTTAATGCAACCACCCCATCAGCTACAAAATTTTCTGGTTGGTATAACATCTGGACCCCTACAAAACCGTCGCATATAGGACTTGAATTGGATTGAAGAGTCGGAATCGCAATTGGTACGTTGTCTATGCCTGTGTCGCATTTCCATAAACCCTTCCTGCACAGATCGGCCCTACAATCGCTGTGTGATCACGTACAGCGTTTTCCATTCAAATTCAGATTGCAAGGTCGCAATCATTCTCGTTTGCGGGTGCGCAGCATAAGAGTTCACTTACCGTAAATTCAAATGACATCTAACCTGCGACTTTCAAGATCCGCCGTCGAGAAAGTCCGCTTCCAGAGGGATGCCACGACGTGCTTCAAACCTGGATAGCTCCCTGGGTCCTGGCTGGCCCTGTGTTGTACTTCGATAGCCTTGTACTTCGATAGCCTGAAAAGGAATAGCATGAGCGACGGCAAGTATCACGGCCACGGAGCTTACCACACCCGCCCCAACGCGCTCCTTGCCCGCCGCAGAACAACCAATATATCGTTCATTGACTCGGAAAACCTACACCAAGATAGAAACCTGAGTTGCGACTTTCAATGAGCTGTTGTTCTTCGAGAAGTCGCTGTCATTTGCGCATTCCGCCATAGCTGAATCTGCGACCTTTGAAGACCAAAATGATCACCTGACGAGCACCCAGCGAACACCCACAAAACCAGCAACAATCTCCCACAAACCATTCCGAGCCTTGCGGTGTCCTTTACAGCTGCGAACAAGACGAGGTCAACAACTGGAGAGACCCACAAGGAGTCCATGTTGAAATTAGACTAGAATATCCTCAGCCGGATGATAGAACGACTAGCATTAGTACTGTACCTAGAATATCCTATGAGAGATATGTGGGTAAGTACTAATGGTGTAAGAACGGCGGGGCACAATACTCACCTCAGCCGGATGATAGAACGACTGAGGAAAGTAGTATGCCCCTGTACAGTACTTATAGTAGTGGGTTACGTAAGGTTCGATCACGATCACGCTGCAGCGCTCAACGGTTCAACAGTCCGGTGTCCAGCCATCCCACGGCGACCCCCGCAATCTTCACGTTACGAGTCCGTCCTTCACGTTCAGGTTCTTGTGATATAGTTTGTTTACTTGGGTGTTCCCCACCAACTTTTCACCACCTTTCTGGATCAGTAAACAAGAATTCACGAACGTCCCTCAATGGGATACATCATCGGATTCACCTCTGCGCCTTATCCTGGGATTTTTTTCGCAATAGTTGCACAGAGCGGTCAATGAACTTATTGAATACCTCATCATCTATAGTCGATACTCATCTTTCGCCTACGATGTTCTACTCACTCGGTTGTAACACGAACAGCAGACTGCTAGGGACTTCAAGGGCTCTTCATGAGTCTTCAACCATGTCATCTGGCACGTTCAGAAGGGAAACGTTTTTGGTCGAGAGCTACATGAGGGAAACTCCGGAAAGGGCATTGTACAAGCTGAAGCAGCCCGCATTAGTAGAGGGAAGCTCTGTTACTGCCTTTCACATATATCCTCCATTTAACCATCACACCAGCTCTTGGTCCTATACAAAGTCATTCTACTGGCTTCTCTTCGTTCAAATTAGTGGCGCACTTGTATTTCTTATTTGATACATCAACTTCGCGGTTCATTTTTGTTCGGATTACGGCACATGTATACAGACAACATCGTACACAGGGAATCAAATCATTAAGTCACGCTTTGCCTACGCCCCAATCCTCGTCCTCATTGTTCTCGAAGGCCTTAACTGCACTTTGTAGCTTCTCCATACTCTCGGGTTTCATCTGATACTCCTTGATCAATTGGATGATCTTCGCTAGAGCTGCATCCCGGTCAAGGCGGCCTGCCAGCTTCACATGTTCCTTAATCTCCTTGTGAACTTTGCTCCTTTCGTCTGAAATGCTGTAGGCCTTAAAGGCGAGCTTGATCAAGCGGCGGGAAAGGTGTAGACGGGCATTCACCAGGAGGCCAAAAATTATTTGCATAATAATTGTGAAGTCAACGATGTATGCCATTAAACGTTGCAGCATGAGTCCCCTAAAGTTTTCCCGCTTAGCGTTTTAACATGGCATAGTGAGGAAGACATACGATTGCTTGTACACATCGAAAATCCATTTTGCCAGAAAGAGAGACGCAACAATAGGAATCACAATGGGAGCAGCAGGTGAAGTTAAACCCCCAATTAACGCAGTCAAGCCACCAAGCAGTGAATAAGCACGGGGACTGACAAGTTGTAAAAAATAAGGTGGCACAGTCGACAAAATTGACATACAATATGGTGTTGGGATCTGACAGCTCGTCATATTGATTCCCAACAAGTTCGATCATTAGCTTTTTCAGTTCCTTGCTTTCCAGATACTAAGAGCACAGTTTCCATAAGTGCGAGAAATGGAATGATGTTAGAGTATTTACCCCGCAACCATCTTGAATGTTCCACACTTCAACGATATCAGTATGTAGAACCTGTAAGCATTCTTCTATAGTTTTTCCTGGAAAGTTCACGCTAGCTGCGAGACCCATCCAATAACCTGACAAAAAAAGGGGTAGCTTAGTTTAACTTTCACTGAGCACACCGAAAGATTCATACGCTTCTTCCCAACCCTTGAAATAGGTGTCAGCATGACATCAAGAGAAGACGAACGTTTGAATGCTCACGCAATCACCGCATCGATCTTTACAGCTGGATTCACGCGTTGGGCGATGGCGGAGACCAGCGCAACATCTTCGGCAACGTCAACTGCCAGGGTGTTTTTAACACAGTCAGCAGTGAGACGGACAAGCTCATTCAACATCTTTCTGGTATCCTTGTATTCTTCATTGGCTGTGTTGGCAAGTATAAGCACAAGCTCAAGATGTCTCTTGTAGCTTACTTGAGACGGCAATGTGCGGAATGTCTATGCCGACGACCTTTTCGAAGGGACCAACACACAATTCTTGGAACTGTGCTGCTGTCTCCTCAGCAAGACGTGCATTTCGGGTTTCCCGATCCAAATGTTTGTTGCGTTTGTGGAACTCTAGATTGTTACCATATTCAACCTGCTCTACCAACTTATCATATTTGGTAAAAACGGTGATCACAGGAACTAAATCAAACAGTGAGCCATCGTTGATCAGAGAACACCAAGAACCTACCAGGGCCAAGGTCTCCGTTAGACTTCATACAGAATAATTCCTCCACCCCAGCCTCGAACAAACGGTCACCTTTAGACAAGGACACCGGGAAACAAAGCCTGCGCAACACCTTCATCAACTTGTTCACTCAGGTGATCGAGGAGCAGTAACCATACCAGACAGCATGCACCTGATCCCTCACATTGGACATCTTCTTACGAGCTTTCAAAAAATCGACCACTTTCTGAAAGTTTTCACCCTCTCCATGCTCGAACCCCTGACTGTCGTGCAGAACAAATCTTCTGTTTTCGCTGGCTATAATCTCAGCATTGATATCCGACACGCCAGCTTCTGAATGAGCCACGGTCTGGGGAAGGACAAGCTTTAGCAGCGGATCTTGAGAAGACGGGGAAGTGACCTCACAGCATCCTTGACGCCGAAGCATTCGTTGATAAGGGAAGATTTCCCTACACCACTCTGTAAAAACAAACTGTGAGCTAATACCTGAGAATAGAGGTATAAGAGAGCTACTTTGCCGATGACCAGGACTCGGAACCTAGCGGTAAGGTAAGTCAGAGTAGTCGGGGATTAAGCAGACTAACCGTTCGACCAACTTGAATAACTCATCCGTTGTGGGTTGTAGGTTGCCCTCGTCGGAGGTTCTGCCTTGGTTAAAGCATTCTAAGATCGATAGCACCTGCATTAGGCGGACGCTTTTGCGTTTGAGGAAGAAGTGCACACACCCCTGCGTATCGGCTAAACTTCAGGACGACATCGAACTTGTCAAATGATTTTGACCATTCTAGAGTAAAAAGTCCTGCATCAGCAAGACAGGAGCGATTGCAGAAGGGAGGTACTTGCCTTGTTTTCCGGAGAAGTGGGGGCCGACCTTACTTAGCAGTTCATCAAGAGGTATCTTGCTCTTCGACGCAGCACGAAACAATCCGCGGAATCGGACTTGCAGATAGAGGGACTCTGAAGGCGAAAGTTGACTGCTTTGACTGGGTTTGTCGTCCAATGCTACACATGATCATCGGCTCACCAGGGGGATGACAACTCAAAGTTGTGGGTCGTTGCATTCAGGAGACAAGGTGATTCCCGCTCGAACGATCCAATCGAAAGTTGGATCGATTTGAGGATGTGCTGGGATTCAACGCAGATTTCTAGCCAATGGGTGTCAGATGTTTGACTTAGGGGGCAAAAACCTGGGAGGTTACCTGTAATCTCAATGCTGGGGCTTCCCGTTGAGCTACCCTTCGCGGTAGACATGGTGGTTTTAATGAAAGGGAGGTGTTTAGCGCTCGGAACACGCTTTACACGGCAGGCATGGGTGAAGACTGACTGAAATAGAAATTTTAGCCTCGTTTGTCTGATAAGGCGCTCGGTGTGACTGTCAGAGGATGTGACGGTATCACCTGCGAGCGCTTGAGCAGTGTTGCTATTGAGTCCGTTGGAATGAAAAGCGAGACAGAAGGTTAGTAGTGTCATCAGTTGTTCACGACCGTCCTCAGGAGGGGTGTTGAGGTGGAGATCGCCTCGAGAAGCGTCCGCGGAAAATAACAAAGGGTGATTTGGGTATCCGAAGTGAGTACAAGGTGTGTCCTATGACTTCCGCCATGCTGTCGGAGACCAGTGCTTAGGAAGGGCATCGCATGATGGTTGGAAGTTCTACAAAGTCCACAATTGTGCCAGCGCACGCCAAGGTCTTTCGGTTGCGAACGTACTGTTGGCCAGGCTACGTTGCGGCTAGTTGATAATCTAGATACAACCTACGTTAGAGGCGAGAGAAAATGGGAATAGAAAGCGTACTTACGGAGAGGAGCGGGTCACATTTGAAAGAAATAGTGTCGAGCTGCGGAGCCATGTGTGCTCCTCCTCCGGTCTCCACAACCTACGGCGTGCATTGACTTTGTGAAAGATGAAATATGACTTTGTAAGGGCATGTTAGAAATTTGTGCGGTGCCACCCCTAGATATGAAATCGAAGCCCCGGTTGCGAACGTGCTTCTAGATTGAAAAAAGAAGGTGAAATTGCGACTTGAATGAAAACAAACGCTATGTAGGCCTAACGAATAGTCAGTAGATAGAATTTTGACGTGTCGCCTTGGCTCACCTGGAGGACAATAATCCCAAGTTGTCATGAAAATGCGCGTCGACATGGTTCACGCCCGCAAATGTCGTTGCAGTGCTAGAAGTCGATGTTCCAGGTGCCATTACTCGTTCTGGTCAAAATGAGCAGAAGCTTTCCTTAACATGTTGACCAAAAGTTTAACCCAATACGGGTGTACCACCAACCCAGTAAAAAAGAGCGTGCGTGTTGGGTCGTGTTGGGTGAAAATCCAGATGGGAGCCAAGACCTAGTATGATAGGTAAGCATATACACAACAAAGCCAGAAACGAGGCTTACTTTCAAAGCAAACCGGTTGAACGTATTGTGAGGTCGCCCCGTTCCCGTTCCTCCGAGGCATCGAAATCTAACCACTAGGCGTCTTTCTGAAACGTGACACGACGAAGTTCCACGGCGCAGTACGGAGAATGCGCTTCGCGACGAGATGAGTCGCGTTGGCGTTGGCATTTCTCAAAAGACGAGCATCGATTGTAGATGACGAGGCTCATGTCGACCTTTCCCTGAGGGATTCTGCAAGATGTAGGCCCCAGCTCGGACGTTCCGCGAAACGGGTGATTCCCTGTGCCGAGGGAACTTCGCATCCGCTGTAGTAAAGGGTTGACATTCATCACAGTCGTGAGAGGCTCCCCGCACTCTTCCACAGAATAGCAATAGTGACCTTGCAAGTTCGCCAAAGTGTCACACTAAACTCTGGATAAGTACCTTCGCCAGTAGAATGAGCATGGCGGAACTCACAATCTCGGTAAGAGCCATCCCCAAGGTTTCGTAAATCCACTAGCCTCCCCTTGATGCCCTTCGGCTTCTCTTGAACGAGGTAGTGAGACCCCAGGTTGCGTTCTTTGGCTGTACTGCTACTGGCATCCAGTTAGTACTTGCGAATGTTCGTCATAAAAATCAATCTAATGAGTTGGTTGGAGGAAACCCGAAG